CTAAAACTTGCAAGTTAGAAAAGCAGCTGATCACAAACACATGTTGTAAATAAACAAAAGAAAATATGGCCTTTTTGAGTTACTTATTGCAAAATTTATTATTAATGCTAGTATACAACGAAAAAGTGAGTAAATTTAATATGCACAACGTTTGTTGTGCTTATTTTTCGCTAATTTGCTATTAATCTCCAGTTGGTTTACTTTAGTGTGTGCTGACTATGGTTGCCGTATGACATTTTTCGTTTGTACCATAATTTTCCTTTAAATATACCAAAATAGATTTAAATGCAGCATGCTGAAATGTTGTTTTGCTGAAGTTTTCGGTTTTGGTACGTTGATTGTTGAAATGAAAATTTTATAATTTTAAAGCTACATCCATGATAAAAACATAGCAAGGTAGAACCGTTCTCTCAATTTGTCGGCCATTATTTTTTTTTTGAAGTTTGCCAACATTTTAAAATCATATAAAAGTGAAAATAAAAAATCGAAATTGTTCGAAATTGTTGTTGCTTGAGATTGAAAATGAAAATGTGTGTGTGAGTTTGTGAGTAAATTTAAAAATTAAATTGTTTGGAAACGTCAAGAATTTTAAAAGTGACTCTCAGCTACCTTACTATATTTTTATCATGGCTACATCTGTGCTATATCTATTACATTGTTTTTGGATCAATGATGTGTGTTTGAAGGAGATACTCTTGTTTTCTGAATGCGTCACCATGTGATATCACAAATAATTATGCATTCCCACGACAGCCGGTTCTACGTACCGGAATGACTCGGGTTTCACCCGACCAAGGGCTGTTGTTTCGGCGATCTAACCCCGTTTAGGTCGGCGAAGTATCTTAGAAGTTGTCCGTCCATAGGGCTACATTCACTACGCATTCTCCTACTCAGGGCTGGCATCGAGTCAAACCCTGGGCCAGAAACATACACCTGCTGTGTATGCCGAAGACGATTACACCACAACTCCACCTCAGTCAAGTGTAATGCCTGCGAGGGGTGGAGTCACCTCAGGGTCTGCTCGGGACTACGGACACACAGACAGTGGACCACGTCGTACGTGGCCCCCTGTTGCTCAAACAGAGCAGCCTCCACGGCTAACCATAGTCCGCCCGAGCAGCCTCACACACTCACACAGCAGCCACACACAGTCACCACAACACAACAACATAATAACACCACAGACCGTACCACAGCCACTACAGACCACATAACACACACAACCGCACCACCACCCACACGCCGCCGCCAACAACTCCTGGTTCCCCCTACAATCTGCACGGTATGTCAGACCAGAATATTCCGTAATGTGACATCAGTCAAGTGCAACACCTGCCTTGGCTGGTGCCACTTTAGGGCATGTTCAGGTCTGCGTACCACGCGAGATTGGACGGGGAATTTCGAGGGCCCGTGTTGCGCTGCTCGGTCGCAGACGTCAATTGCGACGCCCCCCACCACCACCACAGGGCGGCAATCACCTCAGCAGCACACACAGCCAACGGCGGCAAGAACATACACATCACTTACACCCCACATCACGACACGTCTCCCGAACCACATGAAGCTCCTTCAATTTAACTGTAACGGGCTACAGAGCAAGATTGAGGAGATAACCGTCTTCATGTGTCGGCATGGTATATTAATAGCTGCGGTCCAAGAGACGAAGTTGCACAGCAATTCAACTTTGTTGAATTGTGCCGGGTACAACGTGCACCGTCGAGATCGCGAGCGAGATAATGGTGGTGGCTTAGCGTTCATCACGCACCACACCGTGCAGTATCGTCTTATCGAAGCAGACATCGACCGCAGGGATACCACCCTAGAATGTCAGGGCATCGCTATCCGGTCAGGCGATGTCGAGCTCGAAATATTTAATATATACATACCCCCTGTCACCTGCTGCCCGGCAGGATATCACCCTGATATAGGTGCGCTCCTCAGAGGTGAAAACCGTATGGTAGTAGGTGACTTTAATGCGCACCACGATCTTTGGCACTCAAGCCTGTCAAACGATCGTAGGGGAACAGACTTGGCTGAGCAGATAGACGATTCGACATTCTGCACAATGAACGACGACGCACCCACCAGGATTATGGGTAACTGCAGTAGCTCGCCAGACATCACAATAGTCAGCGCTGGTCTGATAAACAGCATAACGTGGCGACCTATGCTGACTCTAGCATCAGACCATCTACCCATAGTCATCTCGATTGATAAACCAACCGACTTTGCCTCCGCCAAACACCGGACCTATATCAACTTTTCTAAAGCTGATTGGAAAGGTTACGCGGAGTTTACTGAAAACACCTTCGCAGCGCTCCCCACACCAACCGACGTCCATCTCGGTGAACGTAAGTTCCGCAGGGCTATCACTGCTGCTGCAGCTCGCTTCATACCGGCAGGATGTATATCGGACCCACGTCCAAACTTCCCTGCCGAAGCGGCTGTTCTAGCCGATGAGCGTGATAGCCTTCGTCAGGCCGATCCCGGAGATCCCCGTATCAGGGATCTCAACGCGGAGATTCGGCAACTAGTAAACGTACATAAGCGGAAGAAGTGGGAGGAGCATCTGAAGACTTGCAACTTCACCTCTGGTGTGAGCAAGCTTTGGTCAACCGTGAGGTCATTGTCTAATCCGACGAAGCACGACGACAGAGTCGAAATTTCCTTCGGCGACCATGCCTCGTCGGACCCGGAGCGATGCGCGAGCTATTTTAGCCGGCAGTTCATACTGCATCCTCCGGTGGACAAAGCCAAGCGTCGAGTGACCAGAAGGCTGCACAAACTGCCAACAACTTGTGCCCCCCTTGCTTTCACTTGCGGTGAAGTTCAGGTGGCCATCGGGAAGGCGAAAGCCTCCAAAGCCATGGGTCCCGACGGAATATGCATGCTGATGCTGAAAAATTTGGGTCCTGCGGGGGTAGCGTACCTAACGGAGGTCCTCAACTTGTCAATGGCCACTCTCATCATCCCAGACATCTGGAAGGTGGGGAGAGTGGTCCCACTGCTCAAACCGGGGAAACCTGCCAACAAAGGAGATTCGTATCGTCCGATTACACTCCTTTCCCCGGTAGCGAAGACACTCGAGGCCTTGCTACTCCCGTACTTCACAAACCACCTGACCCCAGCGAAGCATCAGCATGGTTTCCGTAAAGTGCACAGTACAACAACAGCACTTAACGCCATAAACACTCAGATAACTCGTGGCCTTAACCGTAACCGTCCCTGTGAGAGAACGATTCTAGTAGCGTTGGACTTGTCAAAGGCGTTTGACACCGTCTGCCATTCCACGCTACTGGAAGATATAGAGGCCTCCTCTCTCCCACAGAGGCTCAAACGGTGGTCGGCAAATTATCTGAGTGGTCGACATTCGTCGGTAATATTTAGAGACAAAACGAGTAAGCAACGAAAAATAAAACAGGGGGTTCCTCAGGGTGGTGTCCTTTCCCCGCTACTGTTTAACTTTTACATTTCAAAGCTCCCTCAACCACCAGAGAGAACAACAACAACAACACCAACAACAACAACATTTATAAACGCGTTTTACTTAATTAATTAATTAAGAATTGTATATTAAAGTGGAAATCTCAGGCCGGGGTTTTAATGCAACTATTTTGCCGAAGTGTGTACATAAATATAGTGTTTATTGTGTGAAATAGCGCCAAGAGGTTAGTTCAATTTACAAACTTTAACAACAAATAACTTAAAAACTATAAGCCTGCTGCGGCTAAAAGTATATATATTTGCAATCAGGAGAACTCCCTCTACCGTTCCATAGCTACCTTAATGCGGAACTCCGAGGATGCCAAACTAAATTGCAGCCAAATCACCCAAAACATGCTGCATATGTTCGCAGACAGACAGACAGAAGTGCGTGTGAACAGTTTATAGTCGCTCATCCTTCTACAAACAAACAGTTGCAGAAAAATGAGCGATAAAAACTATTCACAGTCGCTTATTGAACGAGAAATCGACATGCATAATACCATGGGAAAGCGATAATCGAATAAGCATCGTTTATCTACTACCAGTCGACACTCACAATAGGGGTGTATATTTTTTTATATACATATGTATGTTACCGCATAACTTTGGACCACGTTAACCGATTTTTATAATCCTTTTTTTTTAAGGAAAGATGTTACCTCACAGGTGGTCCCATACTAATTTGGTTTAAATCCGATCATTGGATCATGAATAAATTAACGATAATTTTAAATTTTTATATGAGAATTGAAGTCAGTTTCGTTTCTTGCTTAAAAATTACTTGTTGCTTATTTAACTTTCAATTCGTTTGAATAGCTGATGACACTTCACCAGATTTTACAAGGAAAAATTCTTCGGGTAAAATCTTGCAACTTCTGACAAGGACAGATTTTAATGTCCCATTTTTTCCCTACTTTGCCTGAGCACCGAGTACGGGAACGTTTTCTGGTAAATTCCTGTAAATTCTTGCACCTTTTTGCGAGTTAGGGAATGCAAAAAATACTGGCAGTAACACGCGCCGTTGATGCCCCTTTAGATTGTTTTGCATCAATTTTCGGCGTGACCAAGCACCAAAACAAATTAAAATTGATTGGTGGAACCAAATATTCGAAAATAAAAATAATTTTCACTGATGGTGTTTTCGCTTCTACCAAAGAATGTTGCCTTTTGATTGCCCCATGTTCTTTCGATTCTAAATAATGGCAAATGGTTGGAAAATTCCTTGTTCGTTTCTTAAAATGTCACTCTTCTAAGACAAAAAAGGCACATAATCTGCCCTTTGAAGCTTTTTCAGGAGAAGGTTGCTCTGACGACCAGATGGTTGCGTAAAACAGCATTATTATGAAATGCGTGAGCCAGATAACAAGAGGGTAAAAACATGCTCTTTTACAGGGTTGTGAGTGTAATATCAACCACATTTTTCACCGTTAAAGAGCACCATTATTTGGAAGAAACGAAATCACCATTAAATGAATCTGGTGAAACGCAGCCTTAATCAGTTAAAAGATACTTACCCAAATAACAGAAGTACGCATTCAAAGGAACAGATTCCAAAAGAAACCAATATGACGTAATATTGAAAAATGGAGCTAAAGCTGAGAGTATAGCAATAGCAGCCGTGTATTTCAATGATGTTCGTCGACACAAAGCAGGATTAGTCACTGCCATCATTCGATAACCAGCGCGAGAGTAATCAGGTCGAAGATTCCATGATAAAGCATTAAAATGAGGAAATTGCCAAGCAAAAAGTACTCCGGCCAGAAAAAATGATGCAGCGTCAAGATTGCCAGCGCTGCCAGCCCATCCCATCAAAGGAGGTATAGCTCCTACCAGAGATCCGATCCATGTATTCAGTATGCTCACCCTTTTCAGAGGTGTATACACCGCAGTATACAATATGAGGTTAGTGAACCCTAATGCCGCTGTCAAACCATTCACACCAAAATAAAGCAAACTGAGTCCTGTCGTTGCTGAGAGTAAGGCAAATCCAATACAATGCAACGGTGCTAGCTGCCCTGTAACTAAGACGCGATTTTTTGTCCTTGACATCTGTGAATCAAAAGGTACTTCGTGATATTGGTTTATAGCATTAGCAGCTGCGGAAACTAATCCAGTACCCAAGGAACACGCAGAAAAGGTATATATGTCAAACGGCGTGGGTGCCATCGCGTATCCGCTCATCGCAGTAATAACTACTAAAGCTAAATTTGTAATCTTATGTTAAAATATTTTTAATTGTGATCTGAGGTTAACTTACACGTTAGCCGGAATTTCGATAATTGTTTATAATGACTTATTACATTGCCCAAAGCAGTATATGGACTGGGTCGCCAAATACCTTCGACCACATCGGTATCCCCATCTTGCGGCACACTATTCAACGAACTTCCATTACATTTTTGGCTTATTAGCGGAATTCTAGTCACTGGTACCATAACAACATCCGAACATTTCTTTCCAGAATTACTGCAACCTTCTACATGGCACATACGTATTAACCTAGTAAACTATACGAATAATTAATTTCGATAGTGTGTCTTAACCACAAAATTATACTTTGTGAACTTCTATAAAACTGCTTTTATATGATCTCCAGGAAATAAACATTCTAACATCTATCTTCGATCGACTGAAAATCAAAATTCCATCTTATCCACATAAAGTGTTTAAGTATTAAATAATAACACATTTAAATTAGGCCTGTAGAAAAAAAATCGATGCATCGGGACAATTCATGATACAATAATTAAAGATTCGATAAACGGAACACACCTAGATCTCATCAGCTGTTTGACTGACTATCAAGTTGCCTCACGTCTGGAGAGCAAAAATCGATATCAAGACGACGTTCAAGTTGAAAAAGTGAGACTGGGTTGAGCCATGAACGAAAGACACAAGATCACGCGGGACGGAAAGAACGAAAAAAGTTATTTTCTAGCTGCCGAAATCTCGACGCCATCTTTGCTGTAAGAAGTAAACAACGAAGAGAACGGAGAAAACCGCGAAATTGTTGAACGCATGAAAAATCATTTTTATTATGCAAATTCTTCTAAAAATCATGCCGTTGTGTTAAATTATTCTTTATCTTATGTGTACACACGTTGTCACAAGCGAAAATGAAGAAAATTGCAGTAAAAAGCCACCACCAAATTGTAAACAACGAAGAAATGTAAATAAACGGCTAATGTCAAAATCGTTCAACTTTTTTCCTTAATGCGATTCTAACGGGCTAGTCTCCTGCCCGCGTGATCTTGTCTTTTTGGTTCATGGGGTTGAGCAGTGTTTGCATAAGCCGTGTTTTATTTGTCCAGAAATTTTAAGCTATTAGCTTATTTGGTATGGATAATGTGACGAACCGTGCTTCTTTCGGAAGTACTCGCTCTTGTCCTACGTACTTCGAAGTACAGACAAATGTACTTCTTTGCGGTATTTTGTACTTCAGGAGGGAAATTTTGTAACAAGTTAGCGACAATTTTCGGATCGCTTTCGCAGCTTTTGTCTCATGATATAAATGTTATGTTCATCTCGAAGGCTGTAAAGGCCCTCATGTTTCCCCTTGGGAATTTAGACCTATCAGTCTCTCTTCGTTTTTGCTAGAAACGCTAGAGAGACTGATAGACCTTTACATAAGGAACGAGATTCCTCGTGACTGTCTTTCAAGATCTCAATATGCTTATTGAAAGAAAAGGTCGGTGAATACCGCCCTGCACACATTGGTAAAGTGGTCAGAGGAAGCCTTCACGCGTAAAGATTATGCAGTAGGGGCCTTATGCGATATGAAGGGGGCCTTTAACAATGCCACTCCAGAGGCAGACAGAATTGTCGCAGTACGAATTGCTATTGAGCTAAGAGGAACCGGATTCTTTTGTGATCTAAAATAGGAAAAGAAGACGTTTCTCTGCTGCAGAAAATATTTTTATAGGACACTTTAAACCCGTTACCTCTCAAGTGCTAGTGTTGGGGGTTCCAACAGGCCATGGTGCGATTGGTATTCATGCGGCGAGACTCGGAATTTCAACTGATCCCTTTTTATCAGCTGTGAAGAGGAATATGAAGCGTTAACTTAACCCAACCTAACCTGTACTTCTTTGAGCTATGAAATAGTTGGTCACATTAGGTATGGAGGACTTACCCAACATAATTATTACTACGTTTATGCGTAGTCAAATTCACGAAATCATTTCATGAATTTGGTTAAAATTGGCTGCATAATCACAAATTCATGAATTTAGTTATACACGAAAGTTAACCATGAATTCGGCATAATTTCATGAAATCGTGAAGTGCAAGTCCGGCAACGCCACGTTCCACAAACAGCTGTTTACTAGGGTTACGATGTTTTCAGAATAATAACCATGAGTGGCATAACCAGAATTTTAAACACTGGAAAAGTTATGTGGAATTGTTCAAATTTAAAATGAATTCAAATAGAATAAACTGAAAATGTATTAAAACCAATTTGAATAAAATAAGGTTCATTGCCTGGCACCAACGGCTTTTGCAAATTCAAAAGGAGGCAAAAAATAACAACCCTACTGTACAGTTTCCCGCCAGTGCGTTGCCACTTTTTCAAATCACTTTATTTCATGAATTCGCGAACTATGCATAAACGGGACCATTTTTGAATTCATGAAATGAAGAATTCACGAATTCTGTCGCATAAATGTAGTATATATTGGCTTATGAAAGGCTATCTTGGCTTGCATATTGAACAAGAGGCATTGCCATTCAGCATAAGAAATTTTCTCCTTCAGCCAATCAGAAAGAGGCAAAAACTTACTTTGACACCAATTGCAGTCAAACAACTGTCAAAATTAGGCTAACATAGGAAATAAGCTAATTTCGTTTTATTTGACCAAGATTTAGCTATTTGCTTGGGATGGTTGAATAAAACATACCTATTATTAAACTTTGCGTTCAACATTTGCGTTCAACTCAACGCAGGGTTGCACGAAAAAAAGTTTAATAGCTAAATGTTGGCAGGCGATCAATTGTGTTGAAAGCGGTTAGTTGAATGGCCATTCAACCAAAAGTTGAATGCAAAGGGTTGCAATTTAATTAGCCATCCCCGGATATCCGCATTAAAGGTACGACCGCACTAGGCAACGCGACACGACAACACACAGCGTTGCAAAATAGTCTTTGCATGAATTCTTATGGAGCATACCGCACTACGCTGCAGCGGAGCTACGCGACGTGACGTTCCGCGGCAAAGTTGACCAACTAGGCAAAAGTGTCGCGCCGCATAGTGTCGCGCAGTTTCGGTGCCGCATAGTGCGGTATACCCAGCGCAACGACATAACATTTCGTATTATATTTGTAACTTGAAGAAATTGGGTTTCGAATTGTGAGTGAATATTCACATGCATTTCATTCAAGAAAAAAATTTTATGTAAATAAACACAACATTTGAGAAGTATTTGTAAAGGAAAAAAAAAAATAAAAGGCGTTAACATTACATCAGTGTGACTGGCATCCATCTTCTTTGAAGGTTTTCACACAAATAAATTAAAAATTTTGCAGCGAAGCGTCGCACCGCTGCTGTTCCAGTGCAGTGTTGCATCGCTTAGTGCGTTCGTACCTTAAGGTTGCTATGGAACGGTAGGGGGAGTTCTCCTGATTGCAAATATAATGGCCCGTAGTCATAGTCAAAATAAAGTCGTCTTTAAAGTTAGTTGCAGCGTTTTGACAGATATCCCATTGAAAATTATGTCAAAAAGCTGCAACTAACTTTAAAGTCGACTTTATTTTGACTATGACTACGGGCCAAAGTTTTTAGCTGCCGGAGGATTATAGTTTTTAATTTATTTGTTGTTAAAGTTTATAAATTGAACTAACCTCTCGGCGCTATTTCACACAATAAACACTAGATTTACATACACACTTCGGCAAAATAGTTGCAATAAAACCCCGCACAATGAAATATAAACATATTTTTTACATTTATTATGTATTTTTAGTAAATTAAGTATGTTTTTAAAATTATCACGCACTCATATACGTACACACACAATCTTAATACAGAACTGTTGTTTCAACCATGGTTTCACACTGATATTAGAAAAGTGCTGCCACATCTAAGAAAATAATGGCTTTGTTCCATACGCTTTCCGGGCTGCTCCGGTAATTAGAGCGTAAAAGTAAGTTATGCAGCGTTTTTGCTGCATTAAAAATGCAACATTTAGCACTTTCGAACATATGTTTTCGAAGAGCGTTCATGCTATAGCATTTAGCAAATGTACATTTACGCGAGTTCGAAATCGTATGCTTTTGACAAACAGCCGTGTTCCAGTCACTTATTTAGATGCGTATATATTACGATCAATTCTCACGCAGGAGATAATGTGCAAAAACCCTACTGAAAAGGAAAAAATAAATTTTAAACCAAAAATTCAATACAAAAACTTGAATTGTTTTAACCATAACCGAATATTTGTTTGTGTATATATTCATTTGTCGGTGCTGTCAATTA